GGGGGGGGGGGGGGGTGTCTCTCCATGGCTGTAGAGAGGTGCTTCTCAGGAACAGGGGGGAAAAGAGAGTTCTGTCATGTGCGTACTCTCCTTATATTGTGTCTGTACGGCCCTTGTGACTGATCCATCTGGTCACCAGGGAGCATGCTCAGACTTCCTTTTATCCAGCAAAGGAGCAGTCTGATGACTCATCACCATGTGATCCACGTTCCCAGACTTGCAGTTACATTCTCTCTCTCTCTCTCTCCATCACTCAGAGGAGAATGCAGTGTAGAGCAAGTTACAAACAAAGTGGCTAAGAGTTACAGAGGTTACAAAGTTGCAGCTGACAGGAAGCTGCTGAATTTATAAAGCAAAGTTGCGGAGGGTTACAAAGTTTGACAAAGGTTACAACGAGTTGCAATTTAAAGCCTTAGACCTTACAGATTAGTGTATTTCCAGAAAATGCATCCGTGTGTGAAATCAAGTAAGCTCAGGAGGAGACTTTTTTCTGCAACAGGCATGACCCACTGGGCATCCCTGTGCAGTGGGCAGTACAGCCAGTTCTAAGTCAATGTGGTGAGCCTGGCACTGGGATTTTGGGGAGGGGAGGAGCAAGGCAGGGAGATGGGGCTGGGGAGGAAGAGGGCAGAAGATGGCTCTTACCATGCGGTGTCCCTGCCCCGCTCTTGGTGAACCTGGTGCCGGGGTGGGGCAGTAGGTAGCACCGGGTGCCACTTGCCTGCAGGGCTTCCAACAGCAGGGGCTGCTCAGCAGTGGCCTCCAGATCCTGCAGGAGCCAAAGGGACATTTGCAGATGTCAGCGGGAAATCAGCCCCCCCATGGACCTGTTCAGCTCCACCCCAACCCCAGAGTCAGCTGTTGCCATGAACAGCCCGGCCCTGAACCGTACCCGGGCGATGTCTCTGAGATACTCCTGCCCCCCGGCTGCACCGCAGGGCTCCGAGAGCTGCCAGTCCCGCACCAACAGGTCCAGAGGCTGCAGGAGAGAGCACAGAGAGGGGTCACAGAGGGGCAGGACCCTCCCGCCCCAATGCACAGCCCAGCCCAGCCCCACGGCCTGATTTACCTGGAAACGCTGCTCGTAGGCCTGCAGGAACCGGGCCCCCTGCCTGGCCAGCTCCTCCTCCAGCTCCTGCAGGGCAGCCTGACTCTGGGGGGCCTGGCCCCACAGCTCCTCCCGGCAGCGGCCCTGCAGCTCCTGGCGCTTCCCCTCCAGGTGCCGCTGCATCTCCGCTGGCTTCAGTCTCAGGATACTGCGCGTGCTCTGGTGGCCACGGTCCTGCCGGGACAGAAGATCGAGGGATGGGGAGGTGCATCCCCCAGCCATAGGGGGCGCTGCCTCCCACACCTGCAGCCCCTTAAATTCAGCCCCACAGCTCCTGCAGGCCCAGCCCTGCCCCCTGCCCTGCTGGTCCCCGTCCCTCCCTCCCTGCAGCCCCTGCCAGCCCAGCCCTGCCGGTGCCATAGGATCATAAAGCTGGACGAGACCTCAGGAGTTCAAGGTAGGACCCTTCCTCACTCCCACCCCACAGCCCCTCCGCACTCACCAGCCCCTGCACAAATTGTCCATATTCCCTCTTGGCATCTTCTATTACTTTGCTGTTTTCCTCGGCCACCTGTGGGGAAGAGGGGACAGGACGGGGGTGGGGACTGGATCATC